AAAGACAAGACAAAAGACCAGCTGGCCCATGGGCAAATGCGGGTGCCAGTATCATCCTATATGGTGTATATTTGCAAAAGCTTTTTATCAATTTACAATAAAAATATAAATGAAACTCTAATATTTATTTTCCATAACCTATTTTGGAAGTCAAACATTTAAACCCCTGTGGTAGTAACCAGAGCCGTTACCTGAAGCAGTTGATATTTTGCTTGTGTATCAGTGGGTCATGGTCATGTGCTAGGCACACAGCTGCATATGCATTCTTCATTGATACCAGCAGGGAACTTTTATACACTTTAGAGAATGAGTTTGCTCTGAAAACAGCATTTTCCACGATGGTGACTAGATCATTCTTTGTCCTCCGAGTATCAGTCATTCCTAACTGATGGTTTGGATATGAGGGGATCCCCCAAAGCTCCTAAAATTAATGATTAATTAATATTAATTAAACAAATGATTAGATTCTGAGAGCTGTAATCAGTCCATCCTAGTTTGAATGAACAGACTGGGTGGTGACTGTATACATTGGGGGAATGACTGTAGGCAGATGGAGGTAGGTAACTGTGGCGAGGGAGGATTACCCTGGAAGGGTGCATCTTCCCTATGGCCCCTCTCCTCTTCTCCTGGCTTCCTTGCTGGCTTGAGGGGGGAAGCTTCCCCCCATGATGTTTTTGGGCCCAAAGCAATGGATTCCACAACCATGAACTGAGACCTCGGATACTGTGAGCCAAAATAAGCTTTTCCTTCTCTAAGTTGTTCTTGTTGAGTGTTTTTGGTCACAGTGATGCAAAAGCTGACTAGCAAGCTGACTTTAGAAAACAACAGCAAAAAAAAAAAAAAGCTGTAAGAGGTATTTACTCATCTTAAACACTTATTCTATTCTCAGGTCAAGATAAAATTATTCTTAAAACCTCATTTATTCTGGGAGGTGCTATGAAGTGTTACTTATTGGTTAAAGGTCACACCATTCTACGGTTCAGTTGCATACCTGATCTTGAAGTGATTAGTGATACTGTGTGAGTGTAGATTGTGTCTGAGCTGCTTGTTTCTTTCATATCTGTTTTGTCTTAGACACCCTGGGATGCCATTACAAAATACCATAGACTACGTGACTTATACAATAAAAGTTCATTACATTTTTGGAGGTGGGGAAGTCTAAGATCAAGGTCCTAGTTGATTCAGTTCCTGATGAGTGCTCTTTTCCTGGCTTGCAGACAGCCACCTTCTCACTATCTGCTCACATGGCCCTTCCTCAGTGCATGCAATGGAAAGATTGAGCAAGCTTTCTGGTTCCTCTTATTATAAGGCCATATTGGCTCAGGGCCCTACCCTTATGGCCTCATTTAATCTTAATTATTTTTTAAAAGCCATATCTTCAAAAACAATCATGTTTCAGGTTAAGGTTTCAACACAGGAATCTTCAGGGTACACATTCAGTCCATAACAGCTGTTATGCTTTCAACAAATATGTAAAGATCTTCTAGGTAACTCTCATCGTAACCAAGATGCTGTTCTCATTCTATACAAAAGAGCAGGTAACATGTCTGCATGTGCACACATGCACATGCATATGCCTGTGCAGGAGCATGCATGAGTGCATCAAAAGGAAAAGAGAACTAGGGGAATTTAAAGGGGGTATATTTTAAAATGTGTGGACAGAGACTGCTTCTGGGAGTAGATATTGATATAAGTAAGGAGAAAACTTCTATACTTTAAAAGAGTCCTGGCTCAAAGGCCAAGAAACAGGAGGGTTGAAAAGGCAAGAGAAAGGCCAGAAAGACTGTGGCACCATATGGGAGGAGACAGTGATGGAAAAGGAGGTAAGGAAAGTGAGGTGGTCAGCAGGTAAGGCCTCAGAGGTCAAGATCAAGTTTGTATTATATTCTGAGAACAATGGGATTGTTTTTTTTTTTTGAGCAGAGGATTAACATAAACTAATTGCATATACTTTCACAAGGTCATCCTAAATGCTGTATAGATAACAGATTACAGGGAAAAGACGAAGAGCAGGAATACAAGTTTAGGGGCTTTTTCAAAAATTCAAGTAAGCAACACAAGTTTAGAAAGAGTGGTAGTGGTGGAGACTGAGTTCAGAACAGGACTAAAGATGGAACTAGAGTCAGGATCGGGTTCATGTTCCACAGAGTCAAAGAATGGATACCAGGAACAACACCATGGTAATTTTATTAAAAAGGAAAGTAAGAGAAAGATTCAGAACTCCCATGCAGCATACCTGGGAGGGGCAAGAGTGTCATTTATGTCTTATAGCATTCCTCTTTTTAAAGGCATCTAAGGAGAAGTTAATAAGCTCCTCTGGATTGATTTTTTTTTTAATTTTTTAGCTGTACTTGGACACAATACCTTTATTTTATTTATGCCGTGCTGAGGAGCGAACCAGATGCCCCATACTTACAAGGCAAACACTCTACCACTGAGCCACAATCCCAGATCGTGATTAGTTTTTTTAAAATTTTTTATTTGTTCTTTATAGTTATACATGACAGTAGAATGTATTTTGACTTATCATACATACATGGAGAATAACTTCCCATTCTGTGGTTATACATGGAGTTACACTTGCTGTGTATTCATATACAAACATAAGAATATCATGTCTGATTCATTCTACTGTCTTTCCTATTCCCATTCCCTCCTTTCCTTCACTCCCCTCTGTCTTGACTGGTTTTTGATATTCTACTTGTCTCACAGTGAGCACATGCCAGACTATGGATTATCCAGTCACTTTCTGAAAAATGGAGATGTTTACCCTTTCTTTGAAACAGGAACTGTTCTATAACATGCCAGGACACATTAAAATAGCTGTCCTCTTGCTTGCCCTCTTGTCCACTTTTACTGTCCACTGCCTATCGTTTTCTATCTCAGAACCATTAGAATTTCCTAATGGATTGTGTATAGGATATGAAAGAACAATAGTGAAAACATCTTTACAGCCTGAAATTATTCTGTGGTTCAAATCAAAAGAAGAATCTAGAAGTCAAGTAAACCAATTGGAGGGTGTTTTCTCCTAGCACTCTGTACTTCCAATGTATATTTTTTCACAGGTGCAACTTAGCAGCTGTCTCCTGTATTATTATGTGAATTCCAGAACTTCTCTCTCTTCTCTCTCCTTCTTCTTCTTCTTTCTTCCTTCCTCCCCCCCTCCCCTGCCCTCCCCTCCCCTCCCCTCTCCTCTCATCTCCCCTCCTCTCTTCTCCTCCCTCTCCCCCTCCCCCACTCTCTCATGACTTGACCAAGTTCATTGCCAGGAACTTTCTAAGCCCTCATTAAATATTGTAAAGAATGAATGGGTGCCCAAAGCTTTGAGTCTTCTTGAAATCATATCTTACTAGAAACAATTGAAGGAAATAAGGATCTTGAAAAGGAAATAATTTCATTAGATAGCAGTTACCACTACAGAGATTCTATTTTCTCTAACATATCCTTTTGAATTATTTAAACTCTATGAAAAAAAATGTACAGCTTCAAAGCATTGTGGGTCTTCTGTACTTTCAGATCTTCTAGTTAACACCTTCTTCCGGCAATACAGTTTTATACTGATCTGACATCATAACTTGTCTTACACATTTAATCTACTTAATAGTTCTTGGTGTTATTTCTGCTAAAAATAATAGATACAACTAGCCCTTCATTATTCAAGTTCAAGCAAAGATGGTAAAAATGAAGAGTGAGGTCTATAATTTTCCAACTCTATTTTCAATGATTGCATACTTCCTCTCCCATAAACTTTTATACCAGCTGTTAAAAGCTCTTCAAATTGATTTTGTTGCATCTTATTTTCACCCTCCTTCACATCACAGGGGAAATGAAAGCTGTGAAAAAGACAGAAAGTTCTGGAAATGAGGAGGTGCTCCCTAGTGCCTTCCTAGTTAATCTTGATCACTGGAAGCTCTGAATTATTCAGAAGTGACCAAACTTGCAGCTTGGTGCACAGCTAACAATAAGTGTACTAATTTCAAATACTATATATATATATATATATA